AGTTGTTGTGGTAGTGGAATGGGTCGGTGCGTTAGGGGTAGCCGTCGAAGTGTTTCGCTCCGGCTCCGGGGCTGACGGTACTACCGGTGGCCTCGGTATGGGTCCAACCGATGGTTCAGTCCGTAGCATTCCGACCTGGTAGATTTGTCCCTCGAGAGCCCCCATTTGACCTATTGGGTTCAGCAGGGGGTTGTCTCGACGCAGGTAGTCATCGATCTGTTGACATTTATCCTGCTCTTGGGTAGTCCGGTAGGATGGAGGTTGCTCGGTCATGGAGTCCTCCAGGTGGGTCTTTTCCTCCTTCAGGCACGCGACCTCGATGCCCAGGTCTTCTCGTTCCTGGGCCAGCTGGTTGTACTTCCCGCACAGGTCGGTGTACTTGTTGGATACATCCGTACCGAAGTTATAAAGCTCCTGTTGGTACTTTAGGAGACGATCCTGGTCTATTTCCAGTCGGGTCTTCTCAGACTCTAGCTGTGTGATCCGGGCTCGTTGAGCCTCGATGACTGCGAGATTCTCAACGCGAGCCTGTTCAAACCGGGCTGTTTCATTCTGAAGATGGGTGGTGAGGGCGAGGATCTGCTGGCCGAGTTGGGCCTGGCATAGCCGAAGGTCTACGGCTACACCCTCCGGGTCGTTCTGGTTCAACCGGAGGTTCTCATAGGCTGTCCGGAGGAAGTCGAGTTCCGAGTTTAGTTCGTCGATCTCTCCCTCCAGGCCGATGATGCCCTGTTTGAGGTGATGCTTCTCTTCCCGATATTCATCCACCCGGCCGAACATCTTGTGAAGCTCGGCCGAGCCAGCCTCGGAGTAGCCGAGGGTCTCTAACCGCTGCTCCAAGTCTTGGCGCAGGGTGACCACTTCGGCCCGAGACTGCTCCAGCATGTCCTGGAGTCTGGTGACTTCGGTCTGATCGTAACGGCAGGGCTCCTCAGTTACTTGCAACTGGGCCTCTAACCGTTCAATCTCCTGGGTAAGGTCATCAATGACGGTGTTCGCATGTTCAAGTTCATCAGTGAGCCTCTTGCGCTCCTGCTTGTGCGAAGTTACCGTCTGGGACAAAACATTCTCCGTCGATTCGACGATGTTTTGCCCGGCCAAGAGCTGGTTTTGCAGCTCATAAATCCGTTGACGGAGGACCTGTGGGTTATCGATCTTCTCCGGAGGGGTCTTGGTCAGGTACCGCCGAGGCGTATAGTCCGAGGCTCCGATGTGTGAGCCTGGGTACTGCTTCGGTGACGGAAACCTGAAGCCCTTCCTGCTATCCGGACGCTCGGTTACCTTATTGGGTAACACGGTTCCGTCGAATATATCATCGGTCGGTGATGGGGTTTTGCTGGCCCCGGAGTTCGAGGGTTCGAACATCGGTGGTGTAGCCGGAAGGTCCGTGGTTGGCTTTGCAACCTTCGGTGAAGCCGATTTCGACTTGCGAGTAGCCTGTGAGGCTTCAATCCGGCTGGCTCGGGTCAGCATGGGTTCACTGCCGGGGGTCATGGTTTTCGGGGATGACGGTCCGCCAACCGAGGTTAAGTTAACCTCGGTAACCGAACCCTCAACCTCGTCCGAGGAGGCTATGTCCGTTCCGACCGATGAAATCCGGAATTTTACCGGAGAAACGGCTTTTTTCGCCGAAGAAGTGGGGGTTGCCGGCCGGGTTTTGGATGTTCCGACCTTTTGGGTCGGAGTCCGAGCCCCGGTGTTGGGGGTCCGAGCCTCGGGGTCCGAGGCTCTAGCCGACTGCAACCTTCCCGTTGGTGATTTGGAAGTTCCCGAGGTCGGCTTCGATAAGTTCGAAGTCCGAGTTGGAGTCCCGGTGAGGGTCCTAGGGTCCGGTGTGGTCGCCTTCGGAGTCCCGTAGGGTCGTTTCGGGTCCGGCGACGTCGATTTCCGACTGTTGTCCGAAGATTTTGGGTTGTTGCCCGTTGGTTTGGGGCTTTGAGCCAGGCTCGGTGGGGACTTAGTTGGTGAACCCGCCTTGTGGGTCACCCCCGGGTCGATGATACCGTACCCTTCAATTGGCTCGGGCTCATCTGGCATTGCCTCGGTTTTGATCCCGCCATGCCGCCCTGTTGGGGCTGCACAGGGTCACCCATGTCCGGTGACACCTCGGAGCTGCTTAGCGCCGGGCTCGAGGCTCCATTGTCCGGGGTGATGGCCGGGAAGAAGACTGGCGAGGCACCTATTGGGTGCACAAGTCCAGCCGCAGGCTCGGAGTTCGCATTTCGACCTATTGGGCCGTGCAAAATCTCCGGCTCAGCCTGTGGTAGCTCGAGGAACGTCCGGTCGTGTGCGTCCTCGAAGCTATCCTCCGGCGATTAGGTGAAGTCGTTCGCTAGGATCCGCGCATCTCGCTTCTCCTTGGCCGATTTGGTCGACTGGTTCGATTTGCCGGACTTGCTCGATCGGTTGGAGTCCGACGAATGAGGCTCGTTGCCCGGGCCGGTATGACGGAAGGTGTATCCGCCTGCGTTATCCCTTCGGGCGTAGCCTTGATCGAACTTCCGTTCGTATGGGTTCGATCGGTCGGACATCTTCGGTGGTAGCTCTATTGGAGCTGTGAAGTAGCCTCCGGGTTGTCCCTTCGGCCAAAAAGTCAGACTATCCCTATTGGGGACTTGTCCGAGGCTGATGAGGCTTTTTGCCTGTTGAAGGTCCGAGGGCCCGGTGGGGCTAAGGTCCGGTGGGGGGCAGAGGTCCGGTGGGGTGAGGGGTGATGGTGTGGATGTGCTTGTACTACTTGCAACTCAGTACTGTTGTCAATACAGGGTACAGCTTACGTACGTCCTATACTACAGCACTGAATGCTATGACGTCACACACCACTAAGTGGTCTTGCAAATTGCTGCCTACGTCACGATTCTGCGTGCCGCGCGCAAAATTCCGAAAAAACTATGACTCATTACGGGCCTATAGCATAGGGAATCTCCCCGCTATCCTGATTGGTCAGATTTTATAATGTAAAATCGGCCGTCGTGACGTCACAATTAATTTTTAATTTGAATTAATTTTATTTGCCGTGGGAAAATCGGCGAAAATTCCGGAAAAATTATGAAAAGTTATTTTTCGCCGACCAAAAATTAATTTAGCCGGGGGAAATTAGCTCCTTAATTTTCGTAAATTTAGAAAGGTTGTTAACCGAGGCTCAGAGGGTCTACACCGAGGCTCCGAGGGTCCGACCTAGTAAGGTTGGCTAACCCTATTTTTACCCGTGAAAGATGTTTTTAAGCCCGTTTTTCCGGGTGAAAAAGGTTTTTAGCCGACCGAAACTAGTTTTCGGCGGTGGAAAATCAAAATAGCCCGGCTATATCGGGTCTACCGAGGCTCTACAGGGTTTACCGAGGGTCAATCGACCCTTTTTACCGGGTTAATCCGAGTCGTTCCGCTCGTTCGTCCGGTGAATCCCGCGCTGTTAAAGTTGCGGGTGCCACTTAAGGCAAAGGCGACCCCGATTGATGAGGCTGAGAGGGTCCGCTGGGTCCGTGCCGTCCGTTCTGTCCGGGGATCCGCGGTAGCCGCTAATCGACCCGGGCCAAGTCCGTCCGAGGGTCGTTTTCGCGAGGAACGTTCCGTCCACGCGCAAGAAGAGGGTCTGCCAAGGCTTTCTGCCAAGGCTTTCTGCCCGCAAGAGAGACAAACGAGACCAGACCGTTCTGGCTGGCGGCGATCAGATGGGGATAGGAACCTTTGGTTCTCCCCTGTCTTCTCGTCGGCCGTTTACGGATGTAAGTCTACACCGTGGTCTCAAAGGATCCGTTGAAGGAAAACTCAACGATATGCTATCATGTGACAGCTGGCGAACAAAGGCTCACGATCGTGAGAAAAGGCTTTATTGTGGATAGCAATAAAGTGAAGAACCAACATACAAAGGCTCGAGGTGCGAGCAGTATCGTGCAAAAAACAGTGAATGATAATGCTAGTGAAATAGAATGAACGGCATATCGAGCCAAAGCATGGAAAAAGCCTATGCGGCATACTGGGCAGATCCAACACGAGCGAACGAACGCTGATAGGCCGAGATGTGGAAGTGGGGCGTGGCTCCGCCTACATCGAGGCCGATGATTGGCCGAGACGTAAGGCTGGGCGGAAAGCTGCCTGAGTCGAGGCCGATCTAGCGCTCGACAGCGAGTGCGACTCGGTGTGAGTCAGCACACCGGAAGCGGGACTATCGCTGGCTGCCATACTCGTAGGCTGCCATAGCGACTGGCCCAACAACGAGTAGAAAAAAATACCATATCTGAGAGCACCGTGAATTCTGCAATAAATCAGCCTTTATTGCCGTTTATTGCCATGGTCAACGCAACACAACAAGTTCAAACTTAATAAGAAAAATAATTTAAGCAATGACATGCAATAATTTAGTTTTTCTTCAAAATTGCTAATTAGGTGCTAAAAATTCAGGTGCAAAATTACTACTACTTAAGTGCAAAATCAATTATTAGGTGCTAAATGTTCTAATTAGGCGTAAATGATTCTAGTTATAACTGTTCATTAAAGTTTGCTTAATTAGTAATTAGTTAATTAAGTTAATTAAACCATATTATCTCAACACTTAATTACGGACTATAGCGTAATTTCATACAGTTTAATGCAGCACGGAATCATCACGAACATTTATAAGCAGCTCAGGATAACTTTAACGAGTTGATGTGCGGTCGTGAATGTGGCCACGAATTATAAAACCGAGCTCAACAGCTCGGTTTTATAATTCAGCAACTGATTCTCCATCTGACCAGTGCGCGCAGCGTTATCAGTGAATCTGTCTGACTCACAAATCAGTGCGTGAGTTGGAGCGCGCTCGAGCGTTTTGACCTAGATACAATTCGCATCTGAATCCCAATACGTGGTAAATTTGACAGTTGCTAGTATATCTCTCTCGAGAAGTTTAGCTTCCGGGTAGGATTGATTGGGTCTACTGTATCACAAATTTCTAAAATATTTTTGAATTCCGCGTTCACCAGTATTCATTACGGCATAATAGGGGCCAGTCAGTGTTCACCAACCTTTTGACAGAAAATCGAGAAGGCAGATCCAGGCGCCCAAGGATGTCTTCCAGAATCGGAAGCGGGAGGCTGCCTATGTGCCCTACGGTATTTAAAAAAAACAGAGGACTTCCGCAAATACAATAAACTAGTGGGAAAGGCAACCGAAAATAACGGCATCTGCATCGCGATGCGACAATTAAAATTATTGTCATTAAAATTTCTACGCTAAAACAATAATTAATAATAGCTGCTCAACTTTCCCACCTACCGAACCGTTAACTTCATTAAATCTTTTACGTGAATTCCGCGCTTACCAGTATCCAAATCTACAGCTTCGAAGTAGACGCGGGCGTCGGGTGTCGGCGATGGAGCAGTGCCTCCCCACTCCACGCAATGTCGTTTACAACCGGCGAGCAAGGCTCGCTCTTGCCATAGTACCGCGTCTCGTGGCTCAACTCTGTGCTGCCCCAAGAAAATAAACGTCACTGTATCGTTGTCGACGCGTACGTACCTTCCTTTTTCCTTATATCGGGCTATGAAGCTACTTGTATAGCGAGCGCTCTCAGAATCCCTATCACGCGGCACCCCATACGCGAAGCACGGTTCAAGACGGTGTAGTTCAGTCTGGATTAGGTAGGCTCGGTCAAAGGGTACGACGCGTTTGACCCACACCGGTGACGACATGCTGTAGATCGGCGCCGCGTCCGGTGAAGGCAGGCGGTTAATAATCATCCGGGACCAGGGAAGGATGTCGTATCTCTGCAATCCGGATTGGTTATGATTGCCCATAATAACATAATTAAAGGAAGAAGAAGACGGTTTGAACAGTGTGCCGGGTCGAAAAGCGTACGGGCCATCGTCGCCCTGTCGAACGGCAACTTGAACGGAAACCCCGTTCTTGTGAGAGGAATATTGGAGAGGATCATAGAGCCAAATGTGACGCGAATGGATCCAGCACGCGATTACCGACCGGGATACGAGATCGACGAAGAATTCGTCGTCTCTGAGGTCTTTAATCCTTCCCAGATACCAATCGTTTTCCTTTTTAACTAGTACATAGTTCATATAACCCCATTCTCGTCTTTTTGTACAGCTTGGCGGTTTGCGCTCGGTCATTTTTCATAAATAAAACTCAATGGTATTGTGCCAATAAACGCAACAATATAAAGCTCAAATGTATCTCCAGCCGTACCACAATCAGCAAACCACCAGCAGTAAAACCATTGAAATCGTCGTCAAACTGCAGGAGCAGCGCGTCGCGCGAGCAAACCGTTATGCATTTATATGGATCCGCGGAGCATGCTAGTCAGCCATTCGCCGTGTCAGAACAAAATTAATCAATATATCAGTTGTGTGCCAGCCTGTCTGACTGCTACTCTCACGTTTAGGCCAGGCATGTCTGTGTAATCTTAGTCTAGCTGAACTCCCTGCCTTCTTCTACTCTCTTATGATTGTATGAGTATCTTGTCTGTTCAACTACGACAGTACCGTGTACATACAGAGTAATAATCTGGAATGCAGAAAGCATAGGCAAAGTCATGTCTGCACCCTGTATCAAGTTATCAACCTGGATATACCGCCGACTCGCGTCACTTTTAGCAGGGCAAAAGAAGCGAGCATGCCTCACAGGCGCATAACACAGTGTTGCTGCGGCGTACCTGTTAATGGTGCCAGGCGGAAGCGGCATCTGTTCTCCGCTTTATGGCGTCGCCGCGTTCAAACATTGCCGCTCGACAATAGTATTGCGTCTATTAGGATTAGCGCCTTCCCTAGAGATGTGCTTGCTCATGCTGTCTACCTCTTCAGAATTCTCGTAGTCTAATTCTGTTGAATGTCTTGCTCTGCCCGAGACGGTTACCGCCACTGCGCGTTAAAATAAAGCTGGCGCTCGCGCTTGAGAGCTTCCGCATACAATCTGCCTGTTGCAGTGTTATTCCGCCACGCTATTGTAAATCTGCGTGAAATAAGAAAGTCTAACTCATATTATGGCATAGAAGTAGAGGGACTGCAGGCCCAACAGAAAAGGAAAAAAGTGTTCCAATTTGGTAAAAATGTGTTTCAGTTTGCACCTTCAAATGATGCACGGCTTAGCATAATAATCATACCACTGAGTCACTGCCCAGATAATTATACGGTACTAAAATAATTATGTATGATGCCGAAACGGTTCAAAACTTCGTATCGCAAAAGTGTCAGCTAAAGCCTAATTATTCTAATCTGCTATCGCGAGCAGATTGCGCGTGACTCTGTTAGCAGTGAGCGCTAGATATACAACAAAATGGGCATTATTTGCAAACGCAAAAGCTCGCTCTGCCGGTTCCAGTATTCTATTTTCGGCGCTCGACAAGCCCGGCGCGGAAAGTTTTAGTCATAGTCTAAAAATCGCATCCATAACCCGCAGCATCATACCGTTAAGGCGCGAAATATCTAAATTCTGTAAATCCACATCGGCCCAGTTTTGCGTGGATCCGTCAGGCCAGAATCCGTTATATCTACACACGGTCATTAGTTAGAAAATACATCAAACACCACTGGGTATCTTACATTTGCAGGAGTATCCGAATATATTTCCAGTCGTCGGGATACGTCAGAGTGGCTAGCATTCGTTGATGAACGGCCGTAAGGCGGTTATATACGGCTTGATCGACAGGAGGGTAACTATTCGCGCTTGCTAGCAGTATATTGCGGATTGTTTGATTGTCTGAATCACTGCCGTCAATAACTAGCCGGGATACCACAACATCCATGGAGAGTTCCCGCTCCGTAATAGCATCGTGCCATAGGATGCCCGTTTTAGGACAAACATAGGTAATCGTGGAATGGCGGACGCACGAAGTTGGCGCTCCGTAGCACGCCGTCAAGTGTGCAGCTGATGGCAATCAATCGATGGCAAAGTGGGCGAAACCCCTCCAGATAGCCGGTGCAGGCCCAGTGAATCATAAACCGCGAACGAAAGCGGTGAGCGTGCCAAATGTCTATCGCAACGTCGCCGCCTTTAACGATGATGCTGTGTAATTTGGCTGCTTTAATACTAAGCAAGTGAGCAATGATTTGTAAGAACTGGGGGGTGTCGGGATCAGTGGGCTGACAGATATAGGTGATGGTTCGTGTGTGAATCGTGATGGATTCTTCTAAAAGCAAGACGAATTGGTATTTCCACACCCGGTGCCCAGGTGCATACTGCGTAGTTACTCCCGCTGCGGCCTGGGCTTTGCGTGCATCTACTGTATGAGAAGATGCCGGTTTGTTGAAGGCTGGACAAACCGCCACAAAGCACAGACCCTAAAAGCGCAAGAAAAAGCAGATTAAAAAGTCTTTTGTGTACGCCTATGCCGATCGTGTACGTGGCTGAAAAATCATCGGTCTGGTCCAATAAATTGCGCCTTTTTGAACCAACTTTTGTATTTAATTAACAAGGAACATTAGATGTCGCATTATTTCGGGCAGAGTGGGTGTTCCTTGCTTTACCCCTGAAAAGAACTCCGACATTGTACTGAACGTGTTCGAAAAACAGCACGACTCAGCAGAATAATTCGCGTAAAGCTTGCTAGCGGTCGGTTTACGTTGAAGTACTTAATTCCTCACAACCCTCAAAAACTACTTATTTCTGAAAGGGCAATCACTTACCGGAAGTGCCAGCTCAGAGCACCAAGTTCGTGTATATACGCGGAAACTTTCGCTTTCGCGCACTTTCAAACGCTTTTTTGGTTTGTTCTGCAGCAGAGCCAACTGATCTGCATGCACAGGAGGCATGAATCCGTTATCGCACGCAGTATCCGGTGGCCTAGTTAAGAAGGTAATAAAAATTCCAAAAAATTTAAATGCATTCAGGTCACAGGTGTACCAGAAGTGCCATTATAGATCGATCTCCTCCAAAGTTTGCACTTAAGGCACAGTACCATGAAGGTCGTTCTTGCACCGCTCCACTGTTCTATCACGTTTTTTTTAAATTTTAAAATTAATTTCAGATTACTTGGAATTAACTTTGGAATTTAAACAAAATCATGGGAGTGTGGACCGGTGTCAGAATGATCTTCATGGTTATGCGCATTTACGCGTACGAGTATTTATGTGCGAAATTTGAAGGAGATTGGTCCATAATGAGACTTTCGGTACACCTAAGCGCAGCTGAGCTTTTTTGGAATTTCGTTACCTTTTTAACTCCGCAACTGGATGTTACGCCTGTTCATACAAAAATCATTTGGCTACACAATGTCAAAAAGCAACCCAAAAAAGTGTTTGGAAGTGCGCGATAGCTCCTTGGATGTATACGCATTTAGTGCTATATACCGGGTCACTTATTTTAGCTTGACAAGTGAACACTTCCATATGTTATTGTTGCAGCAGGTCATGCATCAAAACAGTGCAACTGAAGCAAGCAAAACAATTAATGTAAGAACTGAATTTTTTTCGAAAATTGCGAGGACCGCACAGCTTATCCTTTTCCGTACACCTTTTCAATACTTCTTTTTCTACTAAATGCCGAAGGTGTTCACCACGTAAAAACACCTGTAGCGCATTAAAGTAAGTATTTCGTTCAAGAAAAACAGAAAAATCTGGCACGAAATTTTGTGTTGACGAATTCGTATACTACGTACTAAGTACTTTACACAATTTTATTTAACGGCATTTTAGTTAGCCGTTAATAAAAAATACACTTCTGTTTGCCAGGACAAGTTGTAATGGTTTTTCTACCTAATTAAATTGTCAGTGTCAGTACGCTTGCGCAGATTTACACTAATTAAAATGATCAAATTTTAAACGTTAAAAAAACACCCGAAATCGTTAGTATCACGCGAAACCTTAGGATGTCTATTCAAAGTGCCCAAAACGGCTGCTGCATTTCCTCTAACCACTGCTAGACTTAAACGCTGTCTTAAAAAGGCCGTCGATCGAGGTTCTCCGTAACTTCACGATTCTTCCGGCCGGCGAAGCGGATCAGTTCTGCGAAAGCCGTACCGAATGTCCCAAACGTTTCAACCACCAAAGGATAGAAGAGGTATCCCATTTCCTCGACAAAATCGTGCTTCCGGCGTTTACTGTCCTCAGCCAGCTGTGCAACACTTCTGGCTTTCATAGAGCTAGCTCGTATATGGGACCCGGCCACAGTGTCCCAACACGTTGAGTCCCAAACCACTGCTTTATCGTCGCGCACAGGAATTAAGGTCATACCGTCAGGCCGTTTACCATATTTGTCTGACAGCCCAAGAGGCTGTCAATTGTCAGTTTTTTTACTGCTAACTTATGAGTTCAGGAATGGCAGATTATTTATGAGAAAGAAACTAGAAGAAAGAAGCCGACTGTCGTATCTAAAGGCCTGGACGGGCTTATTAGACCACTTCCCAGCCACGCAAAGCGGTATGAGCACTCTTCTCTCTCAAACTGGTATAGCGAAAACAACTTGGAGGAACGATGGAGGAACTAACAGGAACACAGGAACCAAGAATCCCTATCAGGAGCCCTGCCAATCATACGAATACACGAAGGTTGCCTTACTTCTCACTCCCGGTCTCGCATTTGTACGAGGATCAAATAAAGGCGAAGGTTAATTGTAACGCGAACGCGAGTATACTGCGGTACCCAAAGCTAAGATTAGACGAGAATCCCGAACTTCTAAGTAACCTTTAGAAAATACTGCCCTTTAATCCAATATACTTTGTACTCGTCAACACATGGAAGTCAGAAAAGTAAGAATGTCAGAAATCAAGAGACTAATTCCTGACCGCTACCGATATTAGGCATCACTCGAGCTTATATAGACTAGCAGAAGTACACGGCGGTTGTACGGCATACATCGCTAGGGATTTAACGTACAGCCAATCACCGGTAGAGAGATGACTAGATAATAACACTGTGGTTCGTATTTGCAGGTAAAGGCGGACATCTTAGAGGCATCCGGACGTACGATGTGGGTACATCCTCCTCCCCACGTCACGACAATTGTGTTCAGCCACCTGGTATGGACTGTATGGTGAATAATCGTTGTCACTGTTCACCAACCTTTTCACAGAAATCGAGACAGCAGATCCAAACTCAAAAGGACATCTTTCAGTATCGGAAACGGGAGGCTGTTTATGGGCCTAAGGCAATGGAATAAACTGTGAACTTCTGCCAATACTCTGCCTCATTTACTGGGTAAATGCAGGCAACAGAATAAACCTTGCATTGCGATGACACGAT